AGCTTTTATCGAATAGAATAATTATAATTTAACGATTATTATAATTTTGAACACCGACACGTGTAACATTAGATAAAATGAAAGAGACCATCTCGAATTATAATTATTATAAACAACGTCATTCACTAAACACTACAGTAGAAAAATACCTACATATAGGTTATTTTTGGTTACTGTTGGCGAAACCGTAGCGCTGGTCGGCTGTCGCTGTGTTGGAGACATTGAATGAATTTGTCTTTTGGTCTATTAAGTGTTGATTTTCCGTTTTATAATTATTGAGCATTGCAGTTTTCGGTTTCTCGGATTGCGGTCGGGTTTTAGGTCACCTTATCGCACACAACCGCACGTCAATGATATTTTTAAGAATAATAATTAATGTAGCTGGGTTCCGCCTTTTTGTTTAACCGTCGATACCACCGTCATTGTACATAGCCGCTTTAACCTGGTGTGGTACCTGCTGAACGAGTCATACATGCATACTCGTGCGCCGATAAGCTGTACATTAAGTTCGTGTCGTCTAGGCTGCATGCCCGCGACCGGTTAGTCCAGAGTTTTCCCCTTGTGTTTCATTGCCTTTACCCGTACAGTCCATGACTTCTAATGCACTGTGCAACTGTTGCGTACCGTCACGCCTGTTAAACATTATATAGATTGAAATCAGTAGATTAAAAAAAAAAATGCTTAGAAGAATTTTGTTACCATTCCCCCGCAGCAAAGGCCGTCTAATCTCGGTCTGTACCGGCTGCTGTGTGTAGTCATTAAACTGATGAGCTATAGAATTCCTCGGGGAAGCGTGTGCTACAGATAAACGTTCAATTATAACTGAAGACCGTGTTTACCACATACAGTAGTCGAGGGGGGTTTTTTTTAAAGGCCTGCCAACTATGGTACTGTGCGAAACGTTAGAACGAGAACCGTTACGGAGGAATAGTGTTTAACGACCGTGTTGTTATATGAGTGTGAACCTAGTCTGTCAGCAACGTGGACCGTGCACGGCGGATTACTATTATTCGTACTCTCGTGATCCGGCACGTTACGGCTGACAGCTTATCCGTAATGCTATGCTGTATAAGTGTTAAATGATCGATGGAAAGCGAATACGGACATGCACGGTTCGTTTCCCAAATCAGTAACCGCCAACACACACAAAAAAATCGTTTTAAAACGGATCCAGTTCTCAAGTAGTCAGTCACTCCGCCGGACGACGTTGGAAGTGAACCGACTGATGACTTCTTTGACTTAGTCGCTTTACAGTCCACCATTATTCAGATTGGCGCACTCATTTTTAGTTTTACACACAGTTAATGTTCAAACTACACTTTTGGTGAATTTGGGTACACTCGAGCTTAACCCATAGAGTGCGCGTCCTCATACTCTCCGCTGAGACTTAACCCCTGATTGGTAGCACTTTCAAAACGACCTATTAGGGCCATAGTCTGCGGTTCTACGACATACCACAAATAAAATGATTTGTTTTTCCTTCAAACTAACTAACCTCTAAACCTATTGTACTCCATCGGACGTATAGATTTTTTTATTTACAATTTAAAATACAGAATAAACATAATAAAGGAAAATACAACCTCGACAACCATCGTTGTTTTGTTATAAACCATTTACTTATTATATATACAAATATATTATTGAAGGTTCGCAAGGACACTTGAGTATCTCGCGTGCAGCTCGTTCGATCGGATCAATGGTTTATGAATATATTAAAAAAAAATGTATGCCGACTGTTGCGATCCGGTTTGCAAACGCAAAACCTAATTTAGACAAAATATATATACTTTCATATTGGTTAAAAATAAAATAAAAAGCTGCATTCAAGCCGTTGGTATATATTATTTAGTGAAACTCGTTCTCAAGGTAAACCGTTTTTCTGTCAAATTCTACACAATGTGCACGTAATGCAACTGTGATGGCAGCTATGACGAATAGATCAGAGTCTTGGCAATAACCCGGGGTAAAAAAAGCCCGGCCCAGTTAAGTTTTTCGAGGTACACATAAACTCAAATAAAACTAGCTATGCTCTTTCCCATGGAAAAGCGATAACCAAAACGCGTTATTCCGGACTGCGCAGGCGCATACAGGTGTAATGCGTTTTGGTTTCTGCGCACTATCGATCTTATATGGGACAGAGTATATATAGGTTATTTTGTCACTGTGCAACTAATTGCACTCGACTCGTCGTCACGTTACAAGGTGGATTCGACAGACGTTTGCTTTGACCGATGACGTGATTGTCGATTGGCAGACACAGTTTCGGTGTTTTATGACGAACGCCCAGAAAAGATCCGAGACATAAGAACCGAGATGGCTGGCTACCGGGTTCTTTGTTGTCGCCATAGCCAACTATTATGTGCTACTATAATAATTATCGGTATTGATATTGTGCCTACACTTTGTCTTGGGTTTGTGTTGCTACCGCCGCAGCAGCAGCCGTTTAAGTATTGTACCCGCTATAAACAATACCGATATTCAAGGTTACTGTGTAATTTATAATGGTACAATAAAAACAGTTGACCGTGTGTAGAGATGATGACGGTTTGTGCGTGTCCCCTGTCGCCGTATAAAAACGCTCATCCGTATTGCATAGAAGAGCATATTATTAATATTACATTCGTCCAAGTACGGTTCGACCAACGCCTGGCATTCAATGAAAGCCACAATATAACACACACGTGTAGTGTGGAAACCGGAACGAAAATAAATGTGAACAATATCTGGATGCGGCATTTTTTACAATCGCCAATGCCCTTTCAATTCGGCCGGTTTTTTTTTTTATCGCTGTCTGTTAAATGCCACTTGGATCTAAACCCAAACCGGAATCATCATTATACACCGCAGCGAACGCCATCGTGTATTTATTATCAAACTTTCTAGATCCACCGTGGCCCTATTCAATATTAATAGCTTTGATGTATAACGCGACGTTGAAATGGCAAAAATAATGTTGACTATAATATAATTATAACCGCTCGCACCGATCATAGAGGTCACTCGGTCGGTTTTAGAACAGGTGGAGCGAGACGGACAGCGGAGAGATGTCTTGGAGATATTAAGTGCAACTGTTTAATTCCATATTACCTCGTCTTGGCCCAATTAGCAACAATTGTATTATCGATATCAATTTGCTGAATCAATTACAATTCTATTCTAGCTTCTGCTATATTATCAATTTCGCCAGTCGGCTATCAACATACAATATATAAAATATTTGAAAGACTGTATTGCACCGAACCAATTCATTTACTGCAAATTAATGTCGTCATAAACGTCTCGGCTACTAATTCTGAACGCGCCGAGGTTTAATCAACTGCGTCGTGTGCACGTTGATTAGTTCTTGTTAATGTATTGTACTGTGTGTAATAATAATATGATTTTGTTTAAACGTGTGGTGTGTGTGTATGTGTGTATGTATATCCATGTATTTATTATGCATGCACAGTCAATTGCTGCTTTCATATCACAATGGCACAGTCGAAATTCATCTTTTGTTTGATTCGCGTTTCTCAACAATGTCACGGCCGACCGAAGCAGTGAATTATTACAAAACTTAACTCCATAATCGTTTACCGTAGCCAGCTGTACCTACAATATCATCTCGGCGCATTAAAAAAAAAAAAAATATATATATATATGCATATATTTAATAAAAGTAACGCGAATGCTTTTTAATGGATCACCGTAGACTCGCAAGATTAGCCGCCGGAGAGATGAGATGCAACACACAATGGGGAACAGACAACACTCTTCCTGTGGTGTAGTAACAGAATGCATTTTCTAAACACACAACACACACTGTATGTACAATAAGAAAGAAACAGCGCGGCTTCCAGAACAATAATCTCGACCATTGTCAACGCGCTCTTCTCTTGTTGGGATCCAAGAGAAAAGTCAACACAGCATATATGCATACTCAATTAGAGATTAGACACTGCTATAGAAAAAATAAAGCGCTAGCTTAAAAAAAAAATCGATGAACGACAAGATCTGGAAATTCGGTGTGCAACAGACACCTCCTTAGCTTCCGAATGGCTTAGTGTCTTCATCATTGCTCAATATTGTCGGTCCAATATTCCTCGAACCCACGTCTACACTTTATCCTTCTTTGGAAGCCAAAACTTTTTGTTCTTCCAAACGCATACGAGCCTGACTGTGCGTTCAAATAGCATTGCAACTACCCCTCCGACAACCCACGGGTTTGAATCCTTTTCATTTCCGTCTTAGATTGGGACATGATCTTCTTTCGTTCCCCTTCTATATAATCTAGGCTTGTGTCTCCATACGGCTAAGCTTGTGTCTCCCTAAATTATTTATTCACTTATGCGACTGAACATTTTTCTCGGTGCACTTCCGTGAATCGTCCACCAATATTGTGATTTTACCTTATTCCGTCAGGTTTTTCGCCTAAGTTTGCACCAGCCCATGATTAGGTGATTATTTTCGATGTGTAAGCAATCGGACCATATATAAGCTTCGCGTCGAAACTACCAAATAATATCCAATTCGACGCTTTACTAGGAAGTTGTCAATATGTGTTATTATTGTTTCTTCTGTTTTGCATTGTACGGGCCCGTTGAGATTTATCACGCTGAGGCCATATAGGCATTATTATTATTGTTATTGTTACCACACACTGCTGGCTTGTCGGTATACTTTCGCGTGTCGGACACATATTATTATAATATATAATATACGTATTGTCGTCATGTAGTATATTATGGGCGTGTCGATTATCCTGCACGTTTCCGTGCCGGTGAATATTATCAATAACAATAATCGAGGTTCGTTCGATATGGTATTCTTGTTTAGGTACATGTATATATATTTTTTTTATCAGAGAAATCGAAATTTTATTCTATACCGGAAGATTACTAATATGCTGCGTTGTATCATTATCAACATAATATCGTGGTAGTCTCAGTAGTGTGATGTTTTTCTACCATGTTGTGCTTTTTGCTAATCCGGTATTTGATATGTTTACCCTGTTTCAGAATTATGACGGCGAATGGCAGTGTTGTTGCTGTTAAAAACATAATACCGTATATTGTTGGCAAGACATCCTGAGACGCTGAAATGTCGCCCGAAAACGAGTGTCCGAGGTTCAAACAGAATGCGTGGAAAAAGGAATTGTGCTCAAACTGTTTCCGCCCGAAAGAGGAACACCCGCAACGACCCAAACGGGTGCAGGTCGAATACAAGCCGTTACCGGAGATATCGCCGTCTCAGGTGAGCAACAAGAGATACTATCTATCTTTAGAAAGCCCATTGGACATGACGTGAGAGTGACTGACCTTTGTAAAAAACTTAACGTTTTTCTAGAATGTAATCCGGAATCGAAGTAGGCACGCATCACCTATTTTGTCGGAATTAGATTCATCTGTTCGGGTTAAAAATAAACATTTGTCGCACACGTGGTAATAGACACTTGAAGAAGTGCACACATGCGAATATATTTACCTCTTATACTTATTGCTTCGGGGCATACTAACGACTAGTGTACACTAACAACAGTTCACGCGTTGAGAGATTATTAATCTTTATATTAATGTGCTGGTTTCGAGACGTTGAACTCTGAACATATATATTATACATACAATTTTTCTTAAAAAGTAATGAATCTGTTTTGGAATAATTTTAGAAAAACCAAATCTTACTTATCTCTCGTTTGTAGTTTATTCTAATCAATTTTTGTTTTGTTTATCTTTTATTCGTTATTGAAACATTTCAACTGAACTTAAGCCTAACTTTTACCTTTTATTTGATCATATTCTAAACATTAATTAAGTGTTTTACTTTTTATTTTTTTTGTTTCAGAGCATATTGAAGGCCAACGGTTCCTGCGAGAAATCGTTGAACGTGTCGTTTTCCAACGTTGAGTTCGAAATCATCGGTTACGGCGGCGAAGAGTATTCCACGGACGACGATTACTCGGACGCGGACGACGACTACGGCCGTCCGCAGGAATACGGCGACGCCGGCGAAGATGAAGAAGAGCTAAAAAGACTGACCGAGGCCAACACGAACATGAACGGCAGACTGAACGTGCCCGAGAAGAACGCCGTCGTCGTCCCGGTGGCTGCTGTCGTTACGCCGGCGAAGACGTCGATCGCGCCTAAGGCGAAAGTGGCGCCCGAAAAGGCGTCGTCGCCGCCACTGGTCACGATCAAGCCGTTCGGCGAACAACAGTCCCAACAATCTTTGGTGTACAGTTTCTTGAAGAACAAAGAAATGGCCGCGGCCGCCAAAAAAGAGACACCGGCAAAAACCACTGCCGCCGCCGTTATTGTTGTTCCGGCGGCCACGGTGGACGACGGCGAGAAAACCGTGGACGCGGACACCGCCGTGGCCAACGAAGACGCGCGGACGCGTAAGACTGAAACGAAAAAGACTCTGGCCAGGAGTTCGTTGCTGGCCAGCTCCAACGAACCGTTTTTGCACATGAAACGGTCCAGTATTCCGGCGGCCGACGAAGTAGCCGTACTCGCCTCCCCGTCCGTCCAGACGCCGTCGCAGGACCTACCCGCGAAAAAAGATCCGGCCGCCGTTGTGGTGGTAGTACCGGCGCCACCGCCGCCGCCGCCACCACCGGAAACGATCAAAACCGAACGATTGCCGCAAGACGCCGTGCCGGAAGGGCCGCCGACCCCGCCCAAGGAACCGGAAGCTGCGGCGACGGACGCCGGTGGCTTGTCCGCGTACAAGACGCGAAGTAACGTGCCGCGAATGGGAACGAAACACTTCAAGATAAAACTACCGGTGGCGCCTATCCCGTTCCAAAAACCCGTCGACGCCTGCAAACCCGCGGAAACGGCCGAATCGCTGACCAGCCGGGAACTGGCCGGCGAACCGGACGGCAAGGCGGATTCGGACGAGCCGGGCGATCAACAGCTGCCGCCAGTCGCGCCTGCCAACCGTTCTTTCCTCCATACCTTTAGCAAAGAAAAGTCCCCTCCCCCTCCACCGCCGTGTGATACCCCTCCTAGGACGCCTCTAAGAAAGGTTTGTATCTGTTTGTTGAATATTTGTAGGTCTTTGCTGATAGAGTTGACAATCAGCATTTTTTTTTTTCCGACCCAGTTTTTTGACCTTGTAATAACCATATTTTCGGGTTATTTGTCCAACACCGTCTATGGAGGCCTCGAGTCCAAATACTTATATCCCAAAACGACTGTCCTCATTCTAAAACAATTATTTATTTGAAAACTCTAAACTGTTTAAAAAACAGCCGTTTAAATAATCTAATATTGTTTTCAATCCGACTACGCTCTGCCGGAAAAATTCAACGATTTTGTATTGTCACATCAGAACAAAACATTTTACATTCTATACAATTCGTTACAAGGTTGGTTAAGCTATTCATTTTGGGGTTTTTTTATTTTATTTGTTTTGTATGCTTGATGCTGGTCAACTTGTAAAGTGATTTGTCTACTTGAAATAAAAAACTGTGCAAATAATTAAACTTAATAAATAACTAAACAAAGCATATTAGGTCTTAAACTTTTTTTTTTTAATTATATTTTCTATTTCAAATTTTTTGGCGATGAATGGTATTTTTTTATTTCTATTTGATTACTAAGTTTTTTCATTTTATTGTCTTTAATGTTTCTGAAAAAATGAAACAAAAACTAGTTTTTATTTAGAAATCGAGCCAATATTTCGAATAAAACTACATTGGATTATAAACCTATTATATTGTTTAAACTAAAATTCAAAATAAGTGCACCTACTTCATCGCAGACCCCGTGCAAATCAAATTTAAGCTTAGGTACCTAAACAAAAAAAATCTGTTTAAATTTTGAAAAAAAAACTGTTTTTTTTTGTACCTCTCCCGTGACTTCGTAAACCCAATACTTTGTTTGCAAGGAAAAGTACTTATTAAGTTGTTTTTTTTTGTGTTTTTCAGACTTCCAGCAGTAGTCCGCCGGAGTGTCCCAGGAGCATCAAGCGTCAAGCTCCGAAGCCGCCCCCCACCCCTCCGTCGCCGATGGTGACGTGCGCGAGCAACAACGTCCATCACCGAGGGAGGCACACCAGCGTGTGTTCGATCACCGACGACGAGTGTGAAGTAGGAAGAGGTCCCGACGAGACGACCACGGCCAACCGGAAGTTGTTGGCGGAATACTGCGAGCAAATCGAACGGGAACAAAGGCAAAACCGGGACGTCGAGGAGCCGCCACAACCGGCGGACGACGCGGCGTCTCGCGAGTCGTCCACCCTCCCGTTGCCCAGCCGGCGGCCGTCGTACGAGAAAAAGAAGTACGGCAAAGCGGCCAAGGTGGGATCGAAAATCAAAAAGTTTTTGAGGCTACCCAGCAAGGACTCGACGACGGCCTCGCCGCAACCGTCGACCAGGCCCAAACTGGAGATCATTCACCCGTTGGACATCAACAAGTCCGGCGTGCAGATCATCCACAACATGGAGATCATACACAGCAGCATACACAGCGTCAAAGGGTCGGCGCACCATCACTCTGGTGAGATGACAGCGAACGTGTGTCACTAAAACCTTACATAACCTACCAGGCCTAAGAAGTTGGCAGTTGACCTGAAAAATAAAAATAATTAAAAGTGTATTATTATGTACAAATAATACAATTTGATACACTGTTAGACCTATATAAAAATTAAACTGTCCTAAAATGCAAAACAAAATTACTTTTACTAAAACACAATAATTGACAAATTGTTTGTTAAATAATAAATTCGTACATACTCCAACAAATGTTTTTAAAAAAAGTGTATACAATAACATTTCGTCATTTATTTGAAATTAACCCCAAAATATATACATTTTTTTCGCCAAACCCAAAACTCATCTCTTGATCAAAAATCAGAATTTTTGTATTCTATGTGTCTTTGAAAAAACTACCGATTATCCTACAATTTTGAATTTAGCAAACAAAATAGTGTAACATTATTTAAACATACACAACACCGATCTAAAATACACCGTAAACCTGTATTTTCAAAAAAATTTATATATTTTGGCAAAAAAAATGTGCGTTAACAGTGTGTAATAAGAAGTTAAATAGTTTAAATAGTTACATAAAAGCCTTAATCAATTTGTTTTTATATAAAATGTAATATTACATAACATTGTCTTGAAAAATAATAAATAATGGATTTGAACAATTTTAATATTTACTGAATAAAAAAAAATTATAAGAGGTACTTAAAAAGGAAAACCGTTTTGCTCACCAAATAAATTCGATTAAGTTTTCAATCCTTGATAAAAATCAAAGGGCCATTTTTAAACTTGATGATTGACTTAGCAATTGACAATTTAAAATCAAGAAATATTTGTTTTCAAATTTCCAAATAGTTTTTTTTATATTTAAAAATATTATTGTAAATTTTTGAAATAAGTCTATTAATGACGTACCATTATATGGTTTCCACTTAAAAAGAAAAATTAGTTGATACATAGTCTATTTGCCCCAAGTTGATCACTGTACATATTTTATGAAGTTAAAAGAAAAATTAAATCATCATAAATTAAATGTAGTCTTAACATATGCCAAACCCTGTCAATAGATTATAGTTATACTTAATTGATTTTGAGTTCGCCAGAAGTTCTGGCTAGAACCTAAAAATATATTTTTTTGGATAAAATAATAATACATAAAATGATTTCATTCATCCAGCATTTAACTCTTTAAAATGTCCTGCCATTGTATTCCAAACTTATAACAATTTTTCAAGTCTTTATTTAAATATTACATTTACCATCAGTGTGGAACGTTAATTTTGTACTCATAAAATAAAATAATAACTGTTTAAGATACTTATAAAATAATTGTAATTTTTATCACTTATTGGATAAAATTCAGCGTAGACAAACAATAGCAAGTTAATATACTGAGACACGTCAATACCTAATTAACATATTTTTTAAATAGCGTGTATTAAACTGACGGCCGTAACTAAATAATCGATAACATATTAAGAGTTGATCGTGATGTTCTCAAATATTTTATTATTTTTCTTATCAAAAATTATCAATGACACATTAAAAAAAAAAAACGAATAATTAAATAGACAAACAAAATACAAACTATAAAATGTTCATTTTTTTAAATAAGCTGTTACTATTTAATAAATGTCATCGTCGACTTCCTAGGCATATTTTGATTCAATATAGTACTTTCATACAAAATTTTACGACTTGCAATGTGAAACTGTTAACAACATTTTTATCTTTATTCTAAAACTTAAATTTTATGTACTGATATTACGACTCAAGTGTGTTTAATTTACCCGTCGACTAATATTTAACGTTTTTCAGCACGCCCATCGAAGCCTCCACCGCCTCCTAGAAGTCTTCCGCCTCAGCCGATGGCTTCAAAAGAGAATTCGCCAAAACTAACAGACTATTCCGATGTGCCAAAAGCTTGCGATTCCAGTACGTCCGACGAGACTTACGAACCAATCAATTATTCGGCACCAGAATGCGACCACAGTTCGCCGGAGATGGCTCGCTTGACATCCATGCAGTATTGTGGCAGCGAGACCGAGTCGGAAATATATCCGGCCATCCAGTTTGGGGACGACGTTAGTATCTTAAGACCATTTATCCTCGCCCACTTTGCGTTTAAATTTAAAAATTTAATTTTCTCGTTTAGTTTGGAGTCGAAGACACTATCAGGAACACACAGACGTCCGGTCACAAGAGTCTGGAGGAGAGTTATGACGCCGTTGTTATTGCCAACCATGAAGCTCTCACCAAACTCTTAGACCAGGTAAAGCTAAACACTTGCGTTATAACATCAAGACCCGCTTTAACTTGTTATGATTTTATAGGCTTCGAGTGGTCCGAAAATTCCAAAAGAATTAATGGTACTTCAAACAAACGGTCTTAAATGGTCTAGTTTTTACGTGGATTCGACAAGCCGTCTACAGAAAGGAGACTATGCCTTCTACAACAGTAAGTGGTACGATGTGCCAGTGGTGTTGTCCATATCGGCCAAACAAATAAAACTCAACAACATATTGAACAATCATTTCACGCTGACAAAAGTATCGCAGTTTATCGATTGTGTCGGCAAAGAATTTAGTGCGAACAATGAAAATGAAGACTGTGAGTAAACATCATAAATATAATTGTCATTTTTTGAAACGTGACATAAGTCAAAATTAGTACCTCGAAATCAGAAATTCACAAATAAAACTAAAAAAAATGTTTTTTTCAGCGTACGTTACATTATGGAACGCTCATCGGATAGAAAGCATTGAATCGTACTGCAAAGAGTACAACGCAAAATACTCGGACGTCACTAAAGAAGCCGGCCTCGTACTAGTGGAAGTTATCAACCTGTTAATGGGCCTGCAGGCTTCGAACGTTGAAAAGTACAGCCTCCAGCCGTTCGTAATCACCAGAAACTGTTTTGGAGCTGACCCGTCTGTCGCTGTGATTCAAGTGGAAAACGATCCCAAGGTAAACGCATTGTTTGTGACTATAATAATATACATTGTGTACTTACGACGACATGATATTGATTTGTTGCAGGACGAAGACACGTTGTGCAACATCATGTTGAACGTATTGAAAATGTTAGCGCCTTCTTGGGAAATGACCGTCTGTTTGTCGCAAGTGTTACGGCAAGGAAAAGCCAACTCGTTGTCCAAGTGCAAAGCGCTGCTGGAGTTTTGGCTGTGGGGACCCACCGGCGTCACAGTGTCCCCCGACCGACCGTTGTCGCTGAAAAGGTAATTGTCGTTACCAGACCATCCAAATTATATGTATCCTACGCCCGGATTATTGTTACCAGATGGTTAGATCTTGAACGAGCCAACACTCTACACGGCCATGTCTGTGCACGCTCTACCAATCTTACCGTACAGCAGATATGCTATATGTCATTCTTGGTGGCCAACGACGATAAATTATTCACCGAAGCGTGGACCGTAATGGCCGGCAAGAAACTGCGGCCGCCTCGTGATCCCACGATCTCTAAATGTTAAGACTCTCGTCGTAACGTTACGTCTCGATATTGAATATTATGCATTTTAAATGTAATTTAACAGAGTACAATAATTTTAAGGGTGTTAATTTATAAAACCAAAACAACAAATGTGTATTATTTTAAATAAATGTTAGATTCGTTTTAGATTAACTGACAACGGTGATAATTTAACTGCTAATCTAACCGTCTATCATAATTTTTTCTTAAATTATATTTGCTCATTAACTGTTAATTTTGAATCGTTTATAAATTGTATGAAATACATTTTTCTTTTATTATAAAATTGTGAAACGAGTTTACAGCATTATCTGCCATGCTAATATTTTAAGTCTTTAAAATAATACTTTTGTTACTTGTAGTAAGTACCTATTTATTTGTAAAAAAAAAAAAGGCTCTCTATTTTGTCAATTGAGTTATTATTTTTATATTTATATTATCAATATTTTTCTACAAAATATATTATTGTTTTTTGTGCTACTTGCCAAAAATGATCAATTCTATTTATGACTATAAACAATTATTGTTTTAATGTTATTTATTTTTTTTGTTTTGTTTTGTCCATCGAAATTCCTATCAATCAACAATGATACATTTTTGTCATAACACGCTTTAAAAACGAATGAGATAAAATTAATTTCATTAACACTTTTAAATAACTGTTGTACAGTATAAAAAGTATACTTTTCTGACAACAATTTGTAAAGTGATAAAAAAGCTTATACAAGTGATAATAGTTAATATTTTAAGGTTATATTATAAACGTTATTTTTAAAAAAAAATCTTTTTAAATTCAATTGTTTTCAATATGAAAATAACAATTTAATGATTTATTATATCAAAATATTTAATCGTAAAATACGACATTTTTATAACATACTTATACCTACTAATATACTACTCGACGCTTTCATAGCAGTCTAAAATTACATCAGAATCACAATTTCGCAACAATAATATTATTATTAACAGCTTTGTTAACTCGATTTAACATTTTTAACGACTTGAAGATTCTGTGAAAAATGTTGGTCTTTTATAATACTGATAAGTTCGTGTAGTTGGTAATCCTCGGAGGTATTAGTATTAACGTCATATAGTTCGAACAGTGCCGGGTTCTGAGTGATTTTCTTTCCCATTATAATGACGTAGGGAAATCCTAGTCGCTTGGCTTCGATAAAACGTTTTCCGATGGTCATGTTATTTCTATCGTCTACTATCACATCGTCTCCGATAATTTCTACTAGACTCGTGTACAACGAATTCAACACGCTGTTGGACGAGCTCTCCTCGTTACTGCCTTGTTTGGCGGGAATAACGCAAACCGTAAATGGCGACAACGACTTGGGCCATCGAATGGCGTCCTGTGTACTTAATGACTCGACCGACGCGCCAAGAATTCTGGAAACTCCAATGCCGTAGCTTCCCATGTACGGGTGTTTCGTACTATTGTCTGCATCAGAGTACACGGCTTTCAAAGCTTCGGCATAAAAAGTGCCGAGCTGAAAAGTGTGCGCCACCTCAATGGCTTTGGTCGACGCTATTTGATTGCTAGAGCATTGCGGACATTCAAGTAATTCCGGTAACATTTCTTTGTTCACTCCGTACCCACATTTCTCACAATGCAGCAATGTGTCGTCGCCAACGTCAGCTGGATAATGGAATTCGTGCGATTCACTTCCGCCCATCATTCCTGAAGCTCCTCTGACTGTAAAAAAAAACAATTACTGTGCTATAACTTTTGTGAAAAACTGAAAGAAGATTTTTTTTTTTTATTTTGTCCTATACTCCGTTTAGACGACACGGACAGTAGGAAGCGGCTCTGTCATACGATGAGTTTACTCTCTCATCGAACAGAGCGTAAGACATCAAAAACAATTTTCCCTTACCTTTTATATAATTCACGCCGATGAAATTGAATACATTTTCATAGGCTTGACAAACGGTGTTGTACGTTTCGACAGCACTCTTTTCGTCTCGATCAAATGAGTACATGTCTTTCATTATGAACTCTTTAGACCTGATTATTCCCAACTTGGGTCTTATCTCGTCCCTGAACTTTGTGCCAATTTGATACAACATTAATGGCAGTCGTCTATAAGACACAGGATCGCAACTAAATAAGTCAGTAACGACTTCTTCGTGGGTCTAAATTAGTTTTAAAAAAACAATAATGTCTATAATAGTAATAAATTAAGCAGAAATGTTGTCATGTAAATTAAATCATTGTTACTATTTTCTTTAAAAAATATGTTAATTATAATTTTTCAATTATAAAGTAAAGAAACAAACAATAATCAAACATTTTTAGTTTGGAATTTATAATAATGTTGTCTATTCCCAAAAGCTTCTGATAATATTACAATAATTGATATAGGTACAATTATGCAATTAAGATATTAAAACGTAAAATGTAATTGCTTGTTTAAGTATTTAATTTAATCTACAATACAACAGTAAATGTATTTTTAGTGTATTAAATCTTACTGGACTGAGCAAGAATTTTTTTCCTCTGCGATCAGTCATTGTGTACAAATCATCTTGATTACTACTGAGACGACCTGAAAAAAAACTGATTATAATAGGAGAAAGGAAAATTTAAAAACAAGTCCTGAAAAACTAAATTTAAGTGCACGGTTAAAATCCACGTCTTCGGGGAATGCGCTTAACTTTATAACATTAATTCGAGACTTTGTTTCAGGCACCATCCAAGTATAACTTCATGTTGTTTTCAACATATTCCTCGTTAATTGTAAATGATTATTGGTAATAATTATTTAAGTGGTTTTTTATATCAATTAAATTTTTTTCACAGAGGAGAAACACAATATTTATTTTAATACTTTATCACATACCGGTTTTCTTCCATAATTCGCTTTTCACTAATACGGGCATAGTTATTTTCTGAGCACCAATATCGATCATACTTTTATTTACGATCGATATCAACTTGTCCAAAGATCTTTGAGCTAAGGGTAAAAAATGAAACAACCCATTTGCATTTTGTCTGATAAGACCAAGTTCGATCATCAACTGAAATCATTTATTTTTATTATTACTCAATATAAAAAATCTCAGCAGGCAATACATACTTTTTGACTGTTAGATATATGTTCATCTGGTTTAAAAGTTACAGTTTTAGAGATCGGCATAGACGGTCGAAATATATTTTTTAAACTATTCATATTTTTTTTTTTGTTTTTTTTAGTACAGATTTGTAATATAAGAAAAAATAATTGTCAACATAACATAGTAGAAATATATAATCTATTACATTAGTATTCTTATTTGTTTTAATATATATATTTAAAATACATATAATAGCTCTTAACTTAATAATAAATATATTAAAGTTTACCTAATTCTAAAACCTAATCGATCAAATTTACATAAGCTCAAAATTTCAAAATTTATCAAAATCCTAACCTACTTTATGATAAAAATAAATCATGGAATAAACAATAATGGAGTCGTCCATTACTCCATGAACTTATGAAGAGTTTCAATTTTAAAGCAGTCTATGGTGCAAACCATTTAAAATACATTTTTGTTTCGCTTATAATGATTAATGAAATTGAAAATGGTTGGTCGAATCCTAATATTAATATATAATAATATAATACATATCTTATACTATATCAATTACAACATAACAATATCGACAAAAATGGATAATATAGGTTTTAGCAAAAATGAAATGGCACATGAATATGAATAACAAAATACCTAAGTGTAAAAAACTTAATCACATAGTAAGTATCCCCGACGATTCTTGTTTCACAGCTCCCAATTCTTCCAACAAAGCCGGTAAGCCTTCAGGAATTCTACCTTCGTCGACCTCCAGACACCACAATCGGTACTAAAAAAGTAAAAAACACTCGCATGAAATCTCAGAGCTATACGTCGCAATTATTTTTTATATGAGTTAGTTTAGTTTACCTTATCGAGTTCTTGTCGTAACGAAAATACAGCCTTCTCGCGGTCAGTGACCAATTCTTCTAAATACTGATAACGTAGCTTTTTTCTTGCACGGCATTCGCGAGCGCTCTGCCGACTCCGTTCTGCGTATACACAGACAGATACTTAATAATAATTTGTTTATTATTATTTAATTTCTTATGCTATTATCCAACCTAATTTGGCTTTGATATCCACTTTGTCACTGGTCTTTTTCCCAGGCTTACGGCCCCGTTTGTTGGTCACCGTTGGTGGGGTAGAGCCTTCTTTCATTTCTTGAGCTTGTTCCTGGCATCAAATGAACACAAAACGCATCGATAACAAATCATAAATTTGTTGAATTTGAAATTACACACTCACCACTTGCACGAGTCCGTCAAAGTCTTGAGCGTTCATAAAGGATTCCTCAAAATCCATTGTTGGAGAAATGCTACTTAATTATTAAAATATAAAATATACTTTGTTCTATTGGTAAAATGTTTAAAGAAGGAAAACCTACCAGACCAGATCATTCAATGTTTATAAACAATGGAATTATGAAATACATGATAACTGATAACATCTTTGTTCGTGATTGAAACAGCTGATTTGCGTTTCTGCATTTCAAGGTCAATGTAACACTGCCGGCTGTTGCCAAAACCCGTGGGCCATGTATACGCACGGTCAAAATATAAAATAAAACTAAAATTTGTACGGTAAAATGGTGCTAAATTTCCGATCCAGATCACTTGGCTGATGGAAGTTAAGTATACCATTGGTTTTGGCATCCCAAACATCCAATAATTAATCGTCTCCACACTTCTGGAGGCCTCCAAATATGGGCTCTAAAAAATTAACAATAAAAAGGTACATTTTTCTTAAATTTTATTAATCTAATATAATATCAAATTATAAACTCATCGGTACATTCAAGGACAAACAAATCTCAATGGTCAGCTCTTCTGAAGAAGAAAATAGGTATATTCTGAATTAAAAGCTAAACATCTGACCAATTCAGCCGATCTCGGTTGCAACCGATTCTCGGCATTGCATTTTCCTTCAGGACTTGAGTGCCGCCATCAATGCAAGAGTTGGCTTCTGGAAGCTGCGGGCCTTAGTAACCAGATAGAAAATATACTGCCCAGAAGTTCTGAGTAAATTAATTGTATGTCTTTATTTTCAAATATGTATTATAATGTAGGTATATTTTTTTAATCATAGCGTGATCATTCCACATGATCAAAGATGTCGACCTTACTTGAACTTTTCTAAATCCAAAAAAGCATGGTATTATATTATGTGTATTATATATTAGTCATCATAGTTTAAGCGTCCTCCCCCACAAGAAACCCCTTCCATCTTGATAAATAGCGTCGAAGTATTTTAATAGTTTTCTTGTATAAAAATATAATAATTATTTTCTAATCATATAGCAATGACCCAATAAAGTAGGTATGTTTTCTGTTTTTTTTTTTTTAGGATTTTGGAAACCCCTGGCATTTATAGATAAAGCGTGATAATATTTTGATATCTACAATGCAATAAAAACGCGACCTGGATAAGATGTGTTATTTTGAGCATTGTTGCATTACACGCTATCTGAAAAATGTCTATAACTTTTCAACTAAGTACGTCCAATCAAAAATGTTTTGAAATTTCGTGATCAGCACTGAAAGTACTATCGATTGAAAAAAGAGTACCCAGTGAAGTAGATTATTTATTATTTATTTATTTTAATGAAATAAATCCTTTTTATTTATCAACTCCATTGACGATATATGGTGGGTGCGGGACAACGAAAATTAGAATTTTCATAAAACAAGTGTTTTCAATAAATGCTATAGATAAATTGGCCGATACAGTTAAATAGTTTTGTTTTTTAATATATGTGTATACGAACCGTTTTTTAGAGTAGCTCATATCGTATCCCCTTTGAAACGTTAGCTCGCTGTATAATAATATCATATAATCCAATATGAAATAGTACCTCAGATACGCCATGTGTGTGTATATATATATATATATATATATATATATATATATATGTATTACATTATAATTTATATCTACGGCGGTGTGTGTCTGAGAAAGTACGACAGGGTGTAAAACCCTTCGGGACCAACAACCTACAAAGTATTTCTATAAAGTTCCATTTGGTTCCTAATATTCCAATATTTCATATTGGATTATAGGATATATAATATATTATATACTTGCTGTCAGAGCAATGACATCCGACCGCGTTCCCTTTCCCGGACTATATTTTTATACTTGCTTCGCTAAAAAACGCACTGTCCCCATTTTTTTCATTATTTGCTCATCTCCATCTCCTGTTATGATGTTGAAGTTTAAACAGTAATTATGCAGTATTTCCCCTCCCTGTTCCCAGGTACTGTATAAATGGTTGTGTATAGAAATTCAAATTTGATTCATATCGAATTTGAAAAAATCCATATCTGATGAGTAAAAAAAAAATGCCCAACTTAGTTCACACAGCAGCTACTAAAAATATCCGCTTTATAGCCGCAAACTTTTATAATGTCTTTTAAAATTTTGATGTCTCCATCTTAACTCTTTTAAGCAAAGGGGCGGATAAAGTCACGTGCAAAATCCATATTTTATTATCAGAGTAAAAAGAAATTTCTAAATATTGTAGTAAAGTTTGCATTAAATATTTAAAAAATATCCGGAAAAGCTTTCAACGGATATATTATACTTTCAGAAACTTTTTACACATTTTCCTTGCTACGATTAACGAATGTAGACATTTTTTGCCGGTGAGTTTTTCACTTACATTTTTTATAAAAAAAAGCACAAAAATTGTGTTTGTTTGTAACTGAATAAAGTTTTAACATACAATACAAATTAGATAAATTTCATTCACTACAGGAGTAAAATTTAGGATGGAGGCTAAATATTGTATTTTTCCAAAATATATTAATACCTTTTTTTATTGTTTCAAATTTTTGTCGTTTAATGTAACCTTACAATTAATCATTAAAAATCATTTTTTCAACTTGTATCGAAAGTGTCAACCCGTTCATTAAAAAAATATTATATTTTGTTATGTTTTGTATTAACAAACAATGTCAACCATTGTCCCCACAGATACATCCTTGTCTAGTCGGGGAGGGGATGGACTCTAACCCCTCAACTCGTATAGGTTACAAGATTTCAATACGTTTTATTTCATTATTCAACTTCGACACATGTACTTATTCTCACTGGAAGAAAATGTGAATCGTGTCTAGTGAAAAATAGCTGAGTGGAATATGTCTTTAAGGAAAAACTCTTATCGCCGACGAGTATTAGCGGCGACAAAATTGTTTTCAAATAATTACAAAATATTTTATTTGTCCATTTTTGTTACCATGTGAAACCCCGTAGGCATATTACATTATAATACCTTTATATTTTATTTAAAAAAATATAATTTAATATACAACTTTAAAAACAACATTACTTTATACTTTTCATTGACACAAACAAGCGATTCACTACCCTGACCTACTTAATAACATTTAAATGAAATTATAAGTTGGAAATAATTAACAAAAATAACTTAGAAATAACACACAAACATGCATTTATAATTATCAATTTGGCGTTATAATTCCACCGTATGGAAGTTGTCAATACAATTTTTTAATTCAAACTGTTAGCTATCAATCACTATCGCATTGACTAACTTAGTATATACTGCAGTAAGAAAATTTCTAACAGTATATGTCGCTCGTATTATATTGGATTTTGAAATTTTTGATGATCGATGCACGTTTTTATTTGTGTGCAATACACTTTAATACGGTTTATGTTTGCAAAAGCGTATGGAAATTATTCCTTTTACAGTAAAAAGTAAACACTTTTTGTGTATTCTTCGCACACTTATTCTGTACTGCGTTGGTATAAAATGTATATTTTTATTACAAACTGTATAAAATACAAAACGAATCAAAAAATAAATGCTTTGTTTACTTTTAAGATCGCACAACATAAAAAAAAAATCAGAAAAACATCCAGAAAATAAAAAAAATAACGTTTTTTTTTTATTGTGGCGTATATGTCAGGTGATTTGGGTCAAGTGGGGTAGTTGAACAAACGGGGGTGCAAGTTTCAATATTAAATTATAAGTTTTATTATGTATTTAGGGTGGATACTAAGCACTGCTTTCGACAACAATATTGATTTAATGGAATCTCCCGGTTCTATGGACAAACTATTTCATAATTCATATATATATATATATACTTTTGTTAAATCATAATAATATGTAATACCCTAAGTTATTACATACTATACAATTAGTTGAACAGTATAATATACAATTAAAGATTAAAAAATGTATTTATGTAAATTACATTTTGTTTATTGTTTTCACGGTATATATCGTTAAAAAAACATTATATTGCTCCGATATAAAAATTAGAAATAATATAATTAAAATTTTAAACTATTTATACTATAAGGTGTGTTAATATAAACTAGACAGTTAGTTAAATTAGTTTGGTTCACATTTTAACGGACCGACATAATTTAACAATGCATTTATTATACCATATTATACTATACAGAATCTGTCTATTGTTTAAATATTAAATAACATTTTACTATAGGGAACACGGTAAATTGGTACCTACCATATTCTAAAATATTTAGTAGTCTTTAAAATAACATCTGTTTAAAGTTAAGTTAAAGCGCAGCGCTCCACGCCATGTTAAAATTTATATGGGTTTCAAAAGTCATTAATTATTGAACTTATTGGTTAGTTATATTTCAATGATAATTTAAAATAATAACTATGAAAATTTAATTTATCATAATTTAAATTATAAATAATTATTATGGTTGTCAGTTAAAAAAAAGTTAGCGTAGATAAAAACTTTAAAGTTGAGTTTACTTGAAAAACCATTAATTATGTTTTCATTTTTGTAGTTTTTTGAGATTTTCTTAAAACCTATTGGGAAATTTAAAAATTGATTGTAAATGACTGGTGAAAATAAAATTATAAAATACCCAAGTTGTTTCTTCAATGGCATCCTTTTTTAAGTTCTCAAAATGGCCCAAAATTAAAAACTATTAAATATATATTAAAATAACATTGAATTTTGAAACGTGGGGTAAAATATGATAGTTTCATTTCTACTGTTATAAAATGTAAAAAAAAATGCATTAAATGTTACTAATAAACGCAAAGAACAACTTTACCTGATGTAAAACTTATTTTTTTACTTAAATCCGTAGCCTATAATAATATAAAATATAAGAGTGTGTTAGGTAAGGAGACTAAGTTCTCTCCAAAGCTTGCTCTCTATTGTTAAAGCCATTGTACAATAATTCACTCTTACTTGTACACAAAAGGCTTTATTAGACACGTTAACAGGAGCGTTAACAATCTTTGAATAAGAACTTGTTGTTAGATCCGCTTTTAGGGATTTTTCTTTTGCTCGTTTCTTTATATTTCTCTTTCTAGATCTTTTTTGAAAACTACAATGTAATTTATCACGAAAAACCGCACTGTAGCCCGCGGTCGGGGTTATGTGCAAAACGTGCCCATTTGGAA